TGGAATTTTTTTTCAACCCATCTGGCCCCCATAAAAACAAAAATTTAAAATAGTACACCCCCCCCCCCCCTCCACACACACAACAAAAAAAAGAAGAAAAAAAAAAAAAGAAAACCCTCCTCCCACCCAAAATGTTTTGACCTTTTAAAAATTTCATTCAAATTTTATTTTAATTTAATTCGAAAAGTCTATTTTAACCCATCTACAAAAATTAAATAAAACTCAATAGGTAAAATAGTCAATTGTACTATATTCTATTACCCTTTTACGTGTGTCCCACAAAAGTGCTTCTATGTTATACAAACACTAAAAATAATATGATATAGCCATTAAATAATAACCAGTCCAATAATAAAAGGATTTGAGTTGGATAAGAAAGAATATTTTTTTAGTACTAATGCTATTGAGACATAATTTAAGGACATAATTTGAAAAATTAATGCATTATGACCATTGAATTAATAGTGTTAGGATCTAATGATAATTTAATGTTATAACCCATTGACAATCTAATGATCATAATCATTAAGTCCTCAAATTATATCTCAATAACATTGCTATTTTTTTAGACCTCCAATCGAGTCCAATTCTATCATCTAAACACACCCCAATAGTTTTGAGAACAAAAACAATCTTCTCCATGTTGTTAAAAAGATTACATGTATCTAACTTTTAGTGATTTTGACCCAAAAAAAAAAAAAAAACTCTTAATCACAATATCGTAGTACATTGTGCTTATTTTTGTTTTTTTTTTACTTTTTCCAAAGTTTCTTTCCCATGAACTAGTTTTAGTTTGTTGTATAATATACGTATATATTTTGGGATCCATATTCTATAGAGACCCAAAAAAAAAGTTTTAAGTCAATATTAGCTACACCAATTCAATTTGAATTGTTTTTCCGAGCTCGAACAGTATGTCTATTATGTCCACTACATCGCACCCACGTGTACGTCTATTTTATGTTGGATGAAATGGTTTAACCTATTATGATGATGATCACTTTTAGGTAAAGTAAAGCAAATGTATGTTGATCTCTCCTTTGGTATAAGGGTTCAGCATCCTTTTCAATTGCTAACATGTGATATGACCAAACTATATGGCTTTTCAAACATTTGAAAAGCGACTTAAAATAAATCCACTAGCCAAATGATGTATAGCTTTCCATGTTGCTTTTGGCTAACATCGTAAAACGACCCCGCGCATTTCATTCTATTGTTGACTACGAAAATAAAAACTAATAAGTCCAGAGCAAGTTGCCAATCAAGAGGGATGAATCTTCAACTTTTGAAAACACCAACGGTATCATAAAAAAGTGTAGTTTTTTTTTTTTTTAGAAATTTTTCCTATTTTTTGAAGTTTGTTTCCAAAAATGCATCACCAAATGTTTACTAATTAATTATTAAAATAAGATATTATTGCTTAATTTAATTAAAATTTCATTTTGTTATGATCTCGTTTGAAAATGGACGTTGATACAATAATAACGTTATTTCATTATGACTTAGACATATAAGTTGATTCATGAAAATAATTACTTTTGATGTACATCTTAAGATCAAATATAGCATGGGTTTTAGTTATAACAAATCAGATTGGTTTAATTACACTTTGCTCTCCTTAAACATTGGTTTTCATATCATTTTGCCCCTTAAATTATGGAATTTCTTATGTTATCTCCTCTACTACTTGAATTAGGTTATCATCATTACTAAAAATCTAAACATCCGTTATCTTTTTGATAGAAAATATCAACATATCGAGAGAAATTGAAACACGATCACATAGTTCAGGATATAGAGTGAAACAACTTTTATTCGAAATTTAAGGGAAGGTAGTCGTTGGGGAGTATGACACTAATAGTTATAATTGAAGGTAAAACGTGATAAATATGATATTTGAGAGGGCAAAGGGTAGTTTTGTGGGGGGAAAGTGTAATTAGCCCTTTTGAAGGTTTTACACCCTAATTGAAAGACAAATACTAATTAACAGTAATAACTGAACAGCTAATTACTACTGACCACGGCTCCAATGACAAGTGGTTCTCCACAACTCTTAAACGCGGGTTCGCTATCCCCCTCCATACAAATAAAGATAGAGCCCTCAACTTTTCTCTCACTCCACTTTCTTCTCAGATTGCTGATCTTCTAAACATTCATAGATCGCTCGCTTCTACTACGTAATACTCTTGATATATTTTTGAATCTTTCCTTATCAATAACAACTTTCTCTACTTTCTCTCCTTCTTCTCAGATCAACCCCACAGCTAGCCTCTCTGTTCTTCTCGATGGTATGTTTCTCTCTTGATCGTCCTGATCTCCCTTCTCTCTCTCTCTCCCTCTCTCTCATTCTGTAAAATATATATGGATGTGTATATGTCGGTATATCCTCTCCTCTTTCTGATGGGTTCTTACTTTGTTTGTTCTTTGTTTTCTTTTTATTTTCAGGCGAGTGAAATTGGAAGTATCACATATGAAGAGGTAAGCCAAGTTGACTTCTGTAATTTTTTATTTTTTTGATGAATTTGGCATGACCCAATTAACAAATTTTCCTGATTTTATTATTTTTACAGGAACACATATTGAATTCGCGAGGAATGAAGCTTTTCACTTGCAGATGGTTGCCTGCAAATTCTGAGCCAAAAGCTTTGGTCTTCTTTTGCCATGGATATGGCATGGAGTGCAGCATCACAATGAAAGGTCAATATCTGCTCTTATACACATAATCTTATTTGATTCATCATGGTTCAAGTCACATAACCAACCTCATATTTAATTATCTCAAAACCCAACAAGAGAGTGTCGTATATTGAATTATCTTTTTTTATATATATAAACAAAGAAAAATATACACGATCAGGAAGGTAACGTGTGGATACATGATTGAACAGGTGCTGCAATTCGGCTTGTAAAGGCAGGCTTTGGAGTTTATGGGATTGATTATGAAGGCCATGGAAAGTCTTCTGGACTTGCTGGTTATGTTCCTAGCTTCGATGATGTTGTTACCGACTGCTCTGATCATTTTACAAGCATTTGTGGTAAGTTTTTGGTATTATTATCACCCATCTTGGGGATTTATTTTGAACTTTATTGTAATATCTTTGTCTACTTCTTGTGGTTGAATACTTCTTAATTTGGGTCCTCAAGATTTTGGGTATTTGTTAGAAATATGTAAAAAAAATAATGCTTTTAATCTTTAGACCTTTGTGTATTAAGATCATTATTAGATTGTGATTGTATTTTTTGGGTGTGATTTGAATAATTGCAGAAAGGAAGGAGAACGTGAACAAGTTGAGGTTTTTACTGGGAGAATCAATGGGAGGAGCTATGGTTCTTCTGTTACACAGGAAGAAGCCAGACTATTGGGATGGTGGGGTCTTGGTTGCACCCATGTGTAAGGTGTGTTTCTCTCTCTCACATTATTCTGTGGGGCTGCATGTTTCTTCTAAATTTATCAAAATGGAAATCTATATCCTCCCATCAAGCTGAAGCTGTTATTCAGGGATTCAGATTCTTTCTATTAATTTCATATTATATCAAACTTGTTATCGCCCGCCATTAAATTCTTAATAAACTTAAGGATACAAAATAGAACTTTACTGAAATTTGAATGGATACAAATTTTAAAACTTTCTTTAAAAATCGAAAGTTATTTAATACTTTCTTTACTTGAATTTTGCAAGGTGGTTCTGTTTAACATGGTCTTTGTTTGATAAATACTTACAGATTGCAGACGATATAAAGCCACATCCACTGGTCATCAGTGTTTTGACCAAACTTGCTCGTATCATCCCAACATGGAAAATTATTCCGACTCAAGATATAATTGATGTTGCCTTCAGAGATCCTGAAATAAGAAAGGAGGTATAACTATTTATTCCCTTCCCTGTCTCAACCCCCCTCCCCTTCTTTGTACTTTTTGTTTTTTGGGTTCTAAAAAAGAAGGATTTGTCAGGATTTGTAGAGTTGTAAATCAATAAGAATTATGTTCCAATTACGTTATCTTTATTGACACGATTTTTTTTTAGTAAATTATTATTTCAAATTCGTGTTAAGATAGTTGTTCTCTATCCAATTCAAAAAACGACCACTACCGTAGCTTTTGTCATGTCCAAAAAAATTGAGGTTTTCAAAGAATTTTCTACGAATGCTTTTTTAAAAATATTCTCCACATTAAGTGTATTTTCTTTTAAAGATCAAAATGTGCAATTTAGGATATTCATTTGGGTTTCGTAATTTTACTAATATCTTTCACGGGTCTTGCCAAAAGTACACTATACCCTATGAAAACTATCTAGTGTAAAATATCATGAAAAAAAATTTAATGGGTTTTTCTATAAAAATCACTAAACACCATAGAACAGAGTATTTATTATTTATTTATTTTTTCTTTTTTTTTTGTTGACCATAACAGGTCCGGGCCAACCCGTACTGCTACAAAGGAAGGCCACGCTTGCAGACTGGCTACCAACTCCTGTCTGTCAGCTTAGACCTAGAAAAAAGACTCCAAGAGGTTACTTTTCTTTTCTATTAATCTCTTTATCATATAAATCTATTAGTTATTTGCGTACGGATTCTCTAAAGTTGACTCGAATTTCAATGTGAAGTTTGGTTTCTCATAATCATACAAGAAGAATCTTTTAATAAAGATTCATTCATATGTTGCACGAATCTCAAGATCTAGTTAGGTGTGCAATAATGGAGCAAAATATGCTTAACGAAGTCTTATAATATGCACAATCTCAAATTGAATCTTACATGTTTAGTTCTATTATGTTAGTACTTTTTCCAAAATTTGACTTAACTTTAAAGGGTCGTCTGGCTAACCTATCATTGTATAATTTTTTTTTTTTTTATTTCAATTATATCAAATATTTTTCTAATGAACTTATGTTGTTGTTACCAAACAGGTTTCATTACCATTTCTAGTTCTTCATGGAGAAGATGACAAAGTGACAGACCCATCTGTTAGCAAACTCCTCTATGAAACAGCTTCAACTTCAAGCGAGGATAAGTCCGTCAAGTTGTACAAGGGAATGTGGCATTCTCTCTCCTACGGAGAGTTTCCAGAAAACATTGACACTGTGTTTGCAGACATTATTGAATGGTTAGATGCCAAAGCTTCCTTAGGGAATTGGAGGTTGGAGAGAGAGCAAAAACTGGAAAATGACGGTTTATTAATATCTAGTTCCAGCAAAAAAAGTTTATAGGAGAATACATTGTAACTCAATTATATATGAATTTGATTGATGCCCACGATAGCTTTATAAGTCCTGTAAAAAACTGTAACAATACGCGGTTACTCAATTGTTTTAAATTAGAGAGATAAATGATTGTTTTGGTATGAACTTTGAAAGTTTTTGATTAGATGTTTGCATAATTTTTTTTAAATCATTCGTATATTGTGGTCATAAAGAATAATCAATTATGAGTAATACTATTTGGATTTAAAAATCTTATCTAATTTGTTGATATAATAATGTGGTTTCATAGAAATTATTAGATCAACACCAAGTTCTAATGTTTGATGAATTTTACCGCGAATTCAAAAATTACAGTGAATTAGATTAGTAAATTAGATCCTAATAACATTACTCATCAATTATTACATCTTTAAACACATTGCATTTATGGCGGAGTAAAAAAACACTTGGTGCAATGAACAAAAAAATCAGAAAAAAGGCACAATAGAATCTCCAAAGAGATGGACATAAGTAATAAATGACCCCTTGACCAAGGGTCAAGGAATATTAAGAAAATCAAGAGTAGTCAATTAAGTTAGTTGTGACCATGTTTATTCTGAGAATTGATGATGATGTATGCTTAGGGATGTCTATGAGTCGAGGTGGGTTAGTTGTGCAAAACTTGTTTTGGATTGGACTTGAAGAGGATAGACTCAAATTTTTATTTAGGTGAGTTATCGGGTAGGTCGGCCTAACTTCAGATAGGGGTAGACTACTCGCATTCCAATCCACGAGCCTATTGGGTGGGTCTACTCCTGAACTTTTTTATATTTAATTTTATTTAAAAATAATGAATATTTTTGTATAGAATCTTGTAAGTATTCTTTTTATTCGAGAAATAGAGAGTGTCAATATCCATTTTAGTTGTCGTAAAAATCAGAAGTTTGGGGAGGGGTGGACTTATGAAAGGATGGACTGAATTTTGGTATCATTTACACTAAGTGATTACTCTCATATAGGTATTCACAGCCTCACAAGTGTTAAGAAGAGACTTTCAGCACTACGCCAGACAATTGATTTTGATTATTCTAAGTTAAAAAAAAACAATTTTTTTTGTGAAAAACCTCTCTTGAATTAATATGCCTAATGTCGGGATATGGTCTTTCTAAACCTTCTTTGCATGAATTTTGTGAGGTGGTTGTGTTTGTTTATCATGATCTTGTTTCGTATACGCTTGCAGATTACGGATGAAATAAAGCCACATCGACTAGCCATCTGTGTTTTGACCAAACTTGCTCACATCATCCCAACATGGAAAATTATTCCGACTCTAGATATAATTCACGTTACCTTTATGTTTCGTTCGGTAAAAAAAGATGAAAAGTAATAATAATATATTTTTTTTTGTATTTAATTAGATGAATAGAAAATAAAAATGACTAATTTTTTTTTTTGATAAGATTAGGGGTGACAATCGAGTCGTGTCGTGTCAAATTCGTGTTAAGTTATTACAGGTTTGTGTCGAACAATAATCAAATCTAACTCAACTCATTTAACCAATTTTGTCGTGTCGAGTTACGAGTTGACTTGTTTATTTTCGTGTCGTGTTTGTGTTCGTATTCATGTTAACTCATATAAACTTTGAATAAAAAATTTAATGTTAATATTCTATTTTTACTTAATTGAATTTATGCTAATATTTTTTTTACAAACTAAAAATTAACTTAAATTTATATAATAATAATAAGTAAAAATATTTTTTTTTATATAATAATTATGTCAGTGCTTAATAAATATTTACAAATAATTAACATTTTATGTCTATAATACTAGTTAAACATGTAAGTAATTTCGTGTTACCATACAAACGAAAAAATAGAGAAAATGTTTATTCTTAAATAAACGGGTTGATGATGTCAATTTAGAGTTTGACTGGTTGAACTGAATATAAACCTTTTATATTTCTTATTCACTTGTCAGATCATTTTTCAGTTCGTGTCGAGTTATAATCAAGTTCGTGTTATAAAATTTATGTCGAGTTCGAGTTGTGTAATCGTGTTAAGTCGAAAATTTTCACTTTTACTTAAGATGGAAAAAATATAATTTAAAATTTTAGATTTTTAAATATATATAAATACATATTTTATTATTATATTTTTATATAAAATTAATGTATACATAATAGACGTATATATCAAAAGATATATAGACAAATAAGATACATCTCAACACAAATAATTAAATTTTCATCCACTTTTATTTCGATTTTGGAGGGCTTGATTTTAATGAGTTGGAAGAAAAATTAATTTATCTATTTTTTCATCTTTTCTATTTTTTTTTTATCAAATATAATTTTTTATTTATCCCTCAAACTTTTAATCATTTCAATTTTTTATCATTTAATTTTTTTATCATACCAAACAAATCATTAAACTCGGGAAATAAGAAAGAACACACA